AACAACAACAACACCTCGACTTTGGCACTTGGTCCATGACTGCAATTCTAGTTCTCTCTTCAAGTCTGCTGCACTGGACTTGGCAAGGGCTGTTCTTTGGAACAATCTCTTCCTGCTCCTTCAGCCTGGTCCCAACTTCAGTATCGCTACAATGTAGAGAGGTTATCGCCAGAGTCTGAGGTATGACGAGAAAACTCCTCCTCCTATAGGCACCCCTATTGCACGAGGCACCACTGTCCGTCTCCCTGCCGCTGCTATAGAGTCATGCCGAGACGATTGGATTGTGAAGCTTCCGCTTCGAGGCGAGCAGGTTGCGCTGGGTCAAGTGTTGTCAACACACGAGGGCGCACTAGGTCCTCCAAGAATGAAGGTGAATGCTTGCTACAGTTCCTCACAGCCAAACTCATTCCTTGGAGAAAGCAGAAACCGAATTGAGTACAGCAGCTCTGCTACACGGTTCGAATGCATCAAACTGCTGTACTAAGCCACAGAAAGACCGGACATCCGTTCAGTTGGCGGCGACTGGGAAGTTGCGTAGGTCTTCCACCAGGCCATTGTCTGGGCTCCAGCCATCCGGCGTCACCACAAATCCCCAGTAGGATTCTTTGGGTGCCTCAAAGAAAAACTTGCAGCTGTTCAATGTGATTCCGCTGTCTGGGCAGAGCTTCAGTATGTTCTGGGTGTGCGCCTCCAGCTCGCTCTCATTCTTTGGGTGTCGCTAACGTTACGACATGTTGTTTCCTTCTCCAGGCAGAACCATGTTTAGCCTAGGAGAGTTAGAATGAACAGATGAGTGCCCTGCATAATGGTTTTTAAGTCAACTGCAAAAAAAGTGTGAAAGGCACAATGTGAAAGGTTCTATCAACTCTTGGCTCGATGAATAACAGATTGTAATCACTGCGCATGGCATTCAGTACCAGCTCTAGCAGCCGTGATCAGCACTTTGTAGTCTAAGGTGCCAGCCATGCATGAGAAAGGTACTGCCGAGAGTAGATGAACATTGGTGCTGCCTATCACCACAAGTACTACACGTTTTCCCTTTCCAACTTCTCCCCATCAATCAGTGGGTCAAGCTGTATCAACTGCCAAGGCTTACCACCTTCCCATGCCACATAATATTATTATGATGAGAGCGTAATCATCACAACGGTAATCTAGCACACACCAAGGCACAAAGGAGGTTTATAGAGTTTGCAGAGTTTGTGTGTAATAGTGCTCCATATTACGAGTCACTTTGATGAGCCAGGCTTTCCAGTGACGAAAGCGAACCTCGTTGTAGTGTATCACACATGTATATGACATATTATATATAACAAGGGACCAAGTGTATATGGAGATATATATACACCACTAAGGGAGGGCATGCCAAAGACTGTGGGTGTATATGGAGTGAGGTATAAACTAGTATATGTGCGATACAATGTACGTTTCGCACTGCACCAACAGTGGCAACACCGTAATGACAGTATTCCTACCCCTGCTCCACTACTAGTGTGTTTCCTTGGTCAATAGCCATGGCGCTGATCCATCAGGACATTCACACATGCACACTGACTTTCACACTCAGGGCTGACTGACCACCATTTTCTAGGCCTGCTCAGAACAATTATTCATTACAATTATTTACAAGCAGTGTGTGCATCGCTCTACACTCTGATACATAATTGAGGTAGATTTGGTTACAAGATGGCTCTCCTTTGCTGCTCCAACCCGACAATAAAAGAGAAGTGTCCAAGCCCTACACCCGCGTACCCGTGCATTCTCAAGTTACCCTTTCTACACCATCATGGCCATCGTAACACACTGTTGTAACCTGTGGTGTAGATCTACATGTGCCTTGCACTACATGCTCTCCAATGACTCCATTGCCTCAATGGCCCGCTTCTAAGTAAGAGTTCTATTCCTCGCCTACATCACTCATCAGCTGTAGATCTATGGAGCAAACTTCAAACTGACTTCGGTATGGCGTATCCAGAATTTCGGCTTTCAGCAGAAGATCTACCTCTTCACTGAAATCGTCAGGGATGGAGTCAGCCTCTCTCACACTTCAGAGAAATTATTTCCGTTTTGGCCAGCTCTGCATGATTACCAGAATGTCGTATCGGCGTATGAGCAAGAGACTCTTGCCTTGGTTTGGTTTGAGCCATACCATACTCCCATATTGGTACTGGTAGTGGTTGTTCTACCTCCATCTTGACCTTGGCTTGCGAATACTAGTAACTAATTACTGGGCAAGTACATGTAGGTAATAATATATAATACTACTTCCCGAAGTAGTTGGTACATGGTGCGCCCTCCTTGTAATCCAGCTACATCCAGTAACTGTCGAATATTCGGCAGATCTACTAAACTGCTGCAGTACTGCGTTCCGCGTAGATCTACAGTGGAGATTGGATATAACGACACTCCTTCGGGAGAGAGCAAAATGCCACTGCAATCATGTATATTCGATCTGTCACTAAAATTAATTATAAACCCCATTTGTTTGTTTGTTTGTTTGTATTTATTTTGATTCGCAAGTTCAAACGGGCATAGAACCCAATAACATGAAAGCGAATATGAAAATCATAATGAGAATGAGAATTCAAATACTTTGATCTTCAACGTAGAGTCAGCGGTACATCAGAGGGAGATCGGGTACAACAGAAAGAGAACAGAAAGTCAGATTTCGCTTGTCGACATCTACAGGGCGCAGGTATAGGGGATTACCTGCGTGCGAAACTGCCGAGCGTGATGGATGGCACGGATGTCGCTGGGGAGGGCATTCCATAATACAGCACCCTTGCAAGCAAAGCGCCCCCGCCCCGCAACCGAACGGGAAACTGGCACGCACAGGCCCATGGCAGATTGGAGCCGAGTAGGGCCGGGTGCAGCGGGGGTTAGCAGGGCTTGCAACTCTGGACTTGCCAGTGCATAACGACAGCGCCACACCAGGTATGCTAGCTTCTGATTGAAGACTTCTGCCACACGGAACACTGCAATGCGCTCCAGCAGGTCGCGGGCAGACGACCACGGAGGGCGGCCAAAGACAGCACGAGCCCCGCTGTTCTGCAGGACCTGTAGACGGTCGAGGTACCTTCTTTGCAGTGAGCTAGAGTACGCGTTTGAGGCATACAGCAGGTCAGACATGATCAGCGATCTAAAGTAGGTCATGCGTGACTGGTGATTCAGGCAGCGGCGCATTCGCCAGAGTGCTCCGATCTTCTGCGACACGCGTGCAGAACATTTGGCAATGTGGGCGTGCCAGGACATGCCGGAATCGATTGTGGCGCCAAGATAACGAGCACTTGGCACACTAGGCAGTGAAGTGTCATGGCAGACGACCTGTAGATCCGCTGTGTGCTGACGGCCGGCAGGAATTGGCACGACTTGGCTCTTGCCAGCATTGAGGATCAGGCCTCGATCCTTCAGCCAGTCTGCAAGGATTGAAACAGAAGCAGATAAGACATCGGATACCTCCTGTGCTGTTCGCCGGCTGCACGCGAGCGCAATGTCGTCCGCGAATTGAACTGACTCGGACTGGCCAACTACAGCGGGGACCTCGCGGGTGTAAAAGCTGAACAGAATGGGGCCCAGCACCGAACCTTGGGGGACACCACTCGTGCAAGCTGATATAGAGCTAGTCCGCGACCCCAGACAGACACGTTGAGTGCGACCGGATAGGTAGCTGGCGAACCAGTCCAAGGCAGTACCGGACACCCCAACACTGTGGAGATCCTGCAATAGCTTGTCATGTTGGACTTTATCGAAGGCTTTGGACATGTCTAACAGGCATACACCTGTGAATAGGCCCTGATCCTTGGCTGTCAGGATGCGGTTTGACATAAGGACTAATGCGTCTTCGGTAGAGTGGCCACGCCTGAACGCAAACTGGGTTGTTGGTAACGATGCTGTTATGTCCAGGAAGGTGATGAGCTCCTTCTGAACCAACTTCTCTAGCAGCTTGGAGAGTATGGGTAGAAGGGATACAGGGCGGAAGTTAGTTGGCAGCGATGGATCACCAGATTTATGCAGTGGGATGACATTAGCTAGCTTGAACGCCGAGGGCACATGTCCGCACGACAGCGAGGCATTGAACAGGCTAGTGACAGACGGCGCCAAGACGTCAGAGCAGAGTTTGAGGACTGCCCCTGGTACGCCATCGCTGCCTGTTGCCTTCGCGGGATTAACTTGCTGGAGTAGCCGTTCAACAGCACCGATACTGACGTGTGAGACCTTGGGGAGGGAAGTGCGGGGTGGAGGCCCGAGGGGAGCAGACAACGTTTGCGGTCGACAGTCATCAGTAACCACCTTGTGGAAGGCTGAGGCGACATCTTCGATCGTACAAGAGGGTTCAACATGGGGACGGTCTCTACAGGTGACTTTGTTAATGGTACGCCAAAGCTTCTTGATGTTTCCTGCGTTTGCTGTACATTGTCCCTGGAAGTAAGTGTTTCGCTTCTGTCGGTATGCATTTCTAGCTTCCGCACGGGCGCGCTTGAATGCAGTGTGGAGCGCAGCGTTTGCTTTGTCTCCCCGCCACCGCCTATGCAGCCGATTCTTGCGCTGGGTGAGCTGGAAGAGGTGCCGATCCGACCAGGGTGGTAGCTGCTTCCGCTTGGCAGAAGAACACTGGAGAGGAGCATGCTTGTCGAGGATCGCCAAGAGTTTGTAGTGCCAAATTGACCACATGTCATCAACTGTAGTGTTCGGGGGCCAGGTATCAAGGTGTGCTGCATCAAGGTCGTCTCGGAAATCAGGTATGTGGATTCTACGTACGTTGCGGAATCCATCTTCACAAAGGACTTACTAAACGACTTGGGCAACAGAATTGTGTCGCTAAACTCAATCTGCGTACAAGGCCGTTATATCCGATCTCCACTGTATATGTACATGTGGCGGAATGATGTCAGGTTCACAAGGTTCATCAGGGTTCACCGGCTGTACCCAAGCTAATAGGTCCGCTGCGTGCGGTGGAATCGGAGAAATGCACTAGGCTAGAAGAGTACAGCTACAGGTCA